GTACCCTGTGCCTGAAGGTCAGCTTGAATTTGTCTGGAAGTTGATCTAGGTTCTTTATCTACCATTCGAACAATCCTTCGTTGCAATCTTTGATCAAGTTTTTCTTTTTCGTCCACGTCCAGGGAGATTAGCTATAGTGGGCTGTAAACTTCTTGACAATGTTGTGCACAGTGGACACAGGAACATTAAGATCTGTTATTGATACAGGTAAGTTTAATTACAAATTGCAGGAGCATCACAAACTTGGAAAGCAATTATTTCTTACATTTTTGAGAAGATGCCAATAATTTTGCCTGGGTTTGAGGGGTTTTGCTTGGAATGTGTCAGATTTGCTTTTTTGTTTCTCCACTTTTTTGTGTCATACCAATACAAACAAAATAAATAAACATGGGAAAGCCTAAACATTTGTAATTGCAACAATTTTCTGGGCGAAGTGGTACATTATCTGACAGAAATGATGGAATTGCTGCAGTGGTGTTCCTGTATGTCCATGGCTCCAACTTGTTACACATGGGAACACCATTGAAAGTCCCATTACCTATAATAAGGTTTTTTGCATATTCTATTGGGAATGTGGTGCCCAAGTGATTTCCCACCAGACCTCACATACAAGAGATGTGTGACACTGTGTGACTTGCAAAGTTATAATGTATGGTCTGATCACTGGAGGGGAAAATGCTTCATCCTGCCTGCAGCAGACTGATAACATCATCTCAACGTAGGCAAAGTCACTTTAACCATTTCCCTCCCGGCCTATGGCCAAAATCCTTCAGCATTCCGGGTGGACGCCATATGGCGTCCTCCCGGGCATGCGCAGTTTGCGCCCCTGCAGAGCTACGCAGTAGCGTGATCTGTCACTGGCCGTGTACCTCGGACAGGGCTGATGACAGATCTCAGTACTGGCCCCGTTGCCGTTACCATGTGACCTGCTGTGACCAATCACAACAGGTCACATGACAGTTGTATACAATGGATGGCTTCATTCATGCCATCCATTGTATACTAGTGTGCCTAGCTGTGAATGGTCACAGCAATCACATGCACAAGCTGGGCCAATCACAGCCCAGCTGTGTCATGTGATTAACCGTGGCCAAATCACAGCTAAGCACAAAAAAAAAGGACTGAATGAATCAATGTCATTCAGGTAAATGTTTGCTTATAGCAAAGTACTTCTTTGCTATAAGCAAATTGTGTATAAAAAAAAAAAAAATACTGATCACTTCCCCAAAGTAGTACAGTGTTACTATGGTAACATTGTACTACTTTGGTCATAGTGAAATATGAAAAAAAAATCTTAAAAAAAAGAAAAAAAATTAATAAAAAATTAAAAATAATAAAAATTATTATAATTTTTTTTTTCATACTGTCACCAGTCAGTGTCCCTGATCACCACCGTGCCAGTTATATGATGACGCTGTACTGCACTGGTGACAAAAAAAAAATAGTGAAAATAATATGTTTTAATTTTTTCATTTTCCGTAAAATTCTGACAAAAAAAAATACAACTTCAAAAAACTCGCCATGCCTCTTATGAAGTACGTCAGACTGTCTACTTTGCAAAAAGGGGTCATTTGGGGGATATCTGTACTATTCTGACATTCTTGGACCTCAAGAATTTAGATTGGCTGTCAGTACTTCAGGATTGATCAATTTTCAGATCTATGCCATAGTTTGTGAACTCTATAACTTTCCTAAAAACTAAAAAAATACATCCTAATTTGGGTTGTTTTCACCAAAGACATGTAGGAGAATACATCTCGGCCTAAATTTATGAAGAACAATTATTTATTTGCAAACTTTTATAACAGAAACAAAGAAAAACATGTTTTTTTTTTTTTCAAAATTTTTGGTCTTTTTTTGTTAATTTAGCAAAAAATAAAAACACCAGTGGTGATTAAATACCACCAAAAGAAAGCTCTAGTTGTGTAAAGAAAATGATAAAATTTTAGTTTGGGTACAATGTTGTATGACCGCGCAATTGCCATTCAAAATGTGACAGTGCTGAAACCTGAAAAATGACCTGGGCAGGAAGGAGGTAAAAGTGCCCAGTATGGAAATGGTTAAAGGAGCTCAAGGAATGTTTTTTTTTTAGATAAAAGGTTCAGATATTTTGAAAAAAAGTTATACTGTGACTGTATATGATGGCAGAACAGGAATTTATTCATGACTTGTAAGTTCACTTTAAACTTGACATAATGTTGGTTCTTGAAAGTGAAATGGTACAAGCCAGAATTCCCCTTTAACAGCCAACAACTATTATTGTCAGCATTTACTTTCAGGGATCAGAAATAAATCCAGAGCCCGCTAAATGACCTCGTTGGCCTGTATGCTCAGCTGCTGTTCAGCATTATGCCTCAAACAGTGAATAAAATAGGCACCTGTTAACATGACACAACCAATGCACACTCCTTGCCAGCTACTACAGCGAGGCAAGTAGAGGATATATTTGATAGCATTTTTTTTCCAAGAACGCGCATGATGTGCCCCATGTGTGAGGGTAACACAGGAAGGACTACAAAGCTATGCGACATTCCGCAGCTGTGGAATTTCAAGCCGGCACATATCTTGTCAGGCGTGCAGGACATTCATTGACCATGGAGAGAGGCACTTGTTGGAGTTTGTCAAGCGAGAGGGTTATAAAAATGAGCATGTCCTGTGCCAGGCATACAGCAGGTTGCAGATATGGGAGCTATTGTTGCCACTGTAAATGAAGCACATTATGTTATATAGTAGTGGGACAAAGTCTGGCTCTGACTAGAAGCTGGGTTGCCCTTCTAGTGAACCAGGTTTGGGGCTGAGCTGACAACAGCTGGATGGAGGTGTAGGATTATGATGGAAGAGCAAAATATATATATTGGGACCCCTGCAGGAGCCACTTGGTAATTTGGGTTCTCTGTTCTGCACCGCAAGAACAACCTCATTTCCTCTGACACACCTGGTTGAATGAAGGTTACTGCAAGCACCTATAAGAGTGCACTCTAGGAGAATGACTAGGATATGGTGCAGTGCCCTCTGAGAGGTCCCTCGTAGCATAAGCACTAGGTAATGGTCTCTGTGCAGCAGCTGTAAAGGGGCAGTCTTTAGTCCTAAGGCCCCATGTACATGGGACACTTCTGAACGATGGAAACTGACTGCTGGAAAATGTAGGTTAAAAAAACGTCATTTTAGCCATGCTTGCATAATGCGTTTATGTGCGTTTTTTAAAGATAAGCACAGGAGAACGTCCCAAATGCCAAGAATGCACTGAAAAGTGGTACATTATTAACTATTTCAGACTGTTTCAGAGAAATACAGAGAGTAGAAGCAGAGACAGCAGTATGTGCTGAGATTAGTTTAAGTGTGAGTTGCTCATTAACATTTCTTTTGTTTCCAAGGGTGGGAAAGGTGTCTGGTGGAGTGAGTCATTAATGCCTCCTGGCAGGGGGTCTTCATGAGGAATTTGAGGTGTGAATGGTCATTAACATATCTTTTGTTTCCAAGGGTGGGAGAGGATTGAGGTGTGAATTGGTCATTACTATGTGTGACAAGCTTGGTAGGAACATCCTGTTTTCAGTGTTTTGTCCATCTAAGTACCTTGAAAACGCTTTGCATGCATTTTTTATGATGAAAAAAGGCTATGGACAGCATCGGGAACTGGAATAGGTAAAAAAAAATTGCAAACACAAACGCTTATAAACGCGATTAGCCACGTTTACAAGTGTTTTGCGTTTGAAACGCTGATAAAATTGACTGCTGAACGCAAGTTTTCTGCGTTCAAAAAAACAACTGTAAACTCAAATGCCTGTAAATGACTGTAAACGAAGATGTGTACATGGACACATAGGAAAACATTAGGGAGAGTTCAGGGGCTGCTGAAAAAAACGCTGAACAGCTCCTAAACGTGAGTTTATCAGCTGCAGTGTACATGAGCCCTAACTCTTTAGCCAGCTAGCGTTGGGGTCCAGTTGTACCATTGGTGCACATGAGAATAGTCCCATTCAAACCTGCAGACAGCAATAAGGTTTCTAGATGGCTGTATGGTCAGCTCCTACAAGGTTCAGTCTCTCTAGCAGAAGGTAGTAAGGTTGCTTTCACACTGATTTGTTTTTCTCCCACTTTTGCGTTAAAAAAAGCAGAAGACAATTGTGTGACTATGTATTCCTATGGAACTCTTCTCACTGTTATAAAAAAGGGGATAATCTGGCACACTTTAGGAATAAATAGGTCCACAATGCCACTAGAATAAGGCTGGTACAGTCTTTTGTGTCCAGTGTCTTATATAGGATGCCTGAGTCACTGGCTGCTGCTAGAAAAGCTAGAAGAAACTCCATGAGCAGACCCAAAGGAGAGAGAGCAGCGTCTTCTGCATGTACCATGAGCTTGTTTATTTCACAAAGTATAAAATTGGCAAATTACAAGATTATTATTGTTATACAGGATTTATATAGCCCCAACATTTTGCTCAACGCTTTACAATATAACGGGAGACAATACAGCAACAATACAGTTCAATACAAGAGGGATAGGAGGACCCTGATCCTTGGAGCTTACAATCTAGGAAAAGGCATGTGAAGCGCCCATCAATATGTGATACAAACCGCTGTGTCTGGCTGGTGAGCTACAATATTGCTGGAACTGGTGAGCTGCTGCTGTGGGGATTTAGGTAACTTTCACACTGATCCTTGGCGTTTTTACCGTGTTTGCGGTGCATTTTTTTTTAAACGACATGTGACTCAAAATCTCAACGCAAACCTGCACCAGAACCCCCAACGGATCAGTGTGAAGAGTTAAAAAAGGAGAGAGAGCAGCACCTTCTGAGTGTAGCATGAGCTTGTTTATTTCACAGGGCATAAAACCAGCAATTTACAAGATAAAAGGTCGCCCACTTACAGCTTTGACGCCATCTTCACTTCCCTGGGGTTTATGGACCATCCAGGAAGTGCTGGGAGCAACCAGTACTACCGAATGCTTCGCACCACCATACACACAGCAGGACCAGCCAGCCACGGCGGTTTTTTCAACATATTGATGAGCTATTCACATGCCTTTTATCTTGTAAGTTGCCAATTTTGTGCTCTGTGAAATAAACAAGCTCAAGCTACACTCAGAAGACGCTGCTCCAGTGGCGGACTGACAAGTCATGGGGCCCCTCGGGCAATAGGGGATCATGGGGCCCCTGTGCCCTTGCCCACACTCAAAGCACACCCATAAAAGCCTGTAAAAGGTACCAGGGGCATTTCACGGGACCCCCTACAGATTCCGGGCCCTCGGGCAGTGCTCGAATGGTCAGTCCACCCCTGCGCTGCTCTCTCCCTTTTTTGAACTCTTAACACTGATCCGGTGCATTTTTCAAAGTCCTGCTTGCTGCATTTTTGGTGCAGGTTTGGTGCACCTGCGTTGCATTTTTGAGTCACATGTCCTTTTAAAAAATGCACCGCAAACGCGGTAAAAACACCATGGACCAGTGTGAAAGTACCCTAAAATCCCCACATCAGCATCTCACCAGTCCCAGCAATATTGTAACTCACCATCCGGTCACTGAGGAAATCTTGAAGTTATGAGGCCAGGAGTAGGCCCGTATAGCAGGAAGCTGTAAATAAAGGCTGAGTGAGCCAGGAGAGGGTTCAAAGAGCCAGGAGAGCTAGGGGATGGTCTAAGGGACCAGAGACAAGAGCAGAAGTGCTGCTGTAGAGAGACCCAGGTGGCTTGGTATTTTCATTACCTGTTCTACTGAAACCCCCGCTTGGGCAAGTTTTCTGAACTTTTCGTTTTCGTCTTTAATAAAAGTGGGCTGGAAAGCCTTAAAACCACAGATTTGACTGGCATGGATTTACTGAAAAAAATGCTTCTCCCACTGAGCTGAATTCCCTAATATCCCTATATATACATTATATACTGTATGTCCCTATGTTCCAGTTTTATTACCTATTCATATTATTTTTGTTTTAAAGTAGAGCACAAATAGCGACAGCGTCCCTTCCCCACCACCATTATTATTATTATACAGGATTTATATAGCGCCAACAGTTTGCTCAGCGCTTTACAATATAACGGGAGACAATACAGCAACAATACAGTTCAATACAAGAGGGTTAGGAGGGCCCTGCTCCTTGGAGCTTACAATCTAAGAGGGAGGGGCTACAAAAGGTAGTAACACCATACATATACAGTATAAGGTATACAGCTGATTTAGTCTAGGGCAGGGGCGGACTGACAACTCATGGGACCCCTGGGCAATAGGGGATCATGGGGCCCCTGTGTCCTTGCCCAAACTCAAAAAAGCCTATGAAAAAGGTACCAGGGGCATCTCATGGGGCCCCCTACCCCCTATGACCTCGGGCCCTTGGCAGTGCCCAAGTTTCCAAATGGTCAGTCCGCCCCTGGTCTAGGGGTTATTACTTATTCCACAGTCCCGCAGGTATCTTCACCACCAGGCAACTAGTATCTTGAATCCACTATTCTCCCATTTTCTCACCGGGGTCATCACATACAACACAGGATCAGCAAAAAACAAAAAAATCAATGAATACAGATTCCCCAAATCCTAATGTCAAGGGACACAAAATAAACGTTCATAAAGTCCAATGTCGTATAATGCAAAATACAGTAAGTCCATATAGCACTAGGGCAAGCTCTTATAGCTGTAGCAGGCTCTGTGTGAAGATAAAGGAAGAAAAAAGGGCCTCTAAAGGAAAATGGACTGCACTTAGGTTCCATGTACACGGGACATTTGGATAACACTTCTGAACGATGGAAACTGACTGCTGGAAAATGTAGGTTAAAAAATGTCTGTTTAGCTGCGTTTGCATACCGCGTTTATGAGCATATATGAGCGTTTACGTTTAGAAGAGTTATTTTTTGCTTAAGATAACCTCAGGAGACCTTCCAAAATGCCCAGAATTATTATTATACAGTATTTATATAGCGCAAAAAGGTTTGCTCAGCGCTGTACATTATAGTGGGGGACAGAACATGAGACAATACAGTAACAAAACAATACACGAGCGGTTCGGGAGCCAGTGGAGGGAATGACAGAGGGGGGTGGCAGAAGAGGAGCAGTTGGTAAGGCGGATGAGTCTGGCCGCTGAGTTCAGGATAGACTGAAGCGGGGATAGTCTGTGATGAGGTAGGCCGGTGAGGAGGGAGTTGTAGTAGTCCAAACGTGAAAAAATAAGGGAGTGAACAAGTTGTTTAGTAGTGTCTGGGGTTAGGAACGTACGTATTTTGGAGATGTTGCGAAGGTGGAGCCTGCATGAGTTTGCCAACGATTAGACATGAGGTTGGAAGGACAGGTTTGAGTCTGGAGTGACACCTAGGACTTTGGCTTGCGGGGTGGGACTGATGGTGGCGTTGTTGGTCATGATGGAGAGGGTGGGGGGGGCATGGGCTGGGGGGAAGATTAGGAGCTCGGTTTTGGAAAGGTTCAGTTTGAGGAAATGGAGCGACATCCAGTCTGATATGTCGGTCAGCAGGTGGGTGATACGGGCAGAGACTGAAAGGGTGAGGTGAGGGGTGGAGAGGTAAATTTGCATGTCATCGGCGTAGAGGTGATAGTTGAAGCCGTGGGAGTGTATCAGTTTGCCGAGGGAGGAGGTGTAGATGGAGAAAAGAAGGGGCCCGAGGACAGAGCTTGGGGAACCCCAACAGAGAGGGGGAGGTGGCAGCATTATAGGTAATGCTGAAGGAGCGTTGGGATAGATAGGAGGAGAGCCAGGAGAGAGCAGAGTCCCTGATGCCAAGGGAGTGCGGTTTGGCAAGGAGGAGAGGGTGGTCAACTGTGTCGAAGGCCGCGGAGAGGTCAAGGAGTAAAAGGACTGAATAGTGGCCATTAGCTTTGGCGGTTAGCAGGTCGTTAGTGATTTTGAGTAGGGCGGTTTCGGTGGAGTGTAGGGAATGGAAGCCAGACTGTAGTGGATCGAGGTGGTTGTTGTCAGTGAGGTGGGCGCTTAGGCAATTGTAGACTAAGCGCTCAAGGAGCTTGGTAGTAAATGGCAGCAGGGAGATGGGTCTAAGGTTGTTCAGATCGGTGGGGTCCAGGGAGGGATTTTTGAGTATGGGGGTGATGTGCGTGTGCTTTAGGGGGGAGGGGAATGCGCCAGTAGAGAGGGAGAGATGGAAGATGTGGGTGAGGGAGCATAGGATGGAGGAGGAGGGTGCCCGGAGGAGTTGTGTGGGGATAGGGTCAAGGGGGCAAGTGGTGAGGCGGGCTTCTGAGAAGACCTTGGTGACCTCCTCAGTGGTGGCAAGGCTGAAGGAGCGGAGTGTTGGGGAGGTAATAGTGTGCGGGATGTTAGATGTGGTGGGGGGCAGGGCGGTTGCGAGGTCAGAGGAGGGGAGAGTTAATGGGGTTATGGTGTGAGGGAGGTTACGGCTGGTGATGGTTTGACGTTTGGGGGGGAGGTGTTAGAGGACGGGGAGATGGAGAACGTAATGAGGGTGTGGTCAGAGAGAGGGAAAGGGGTGTTAGTGAGGTTGTGGGGGGTTCAGAGATGGGAGAAAACGAGGTCCAGGTGCACTGAAAACAGTAAAAATTAACTATTTCAGACATTTTGAGGGAAATAGAGAGAGCAGAAGCAGAGAGAGCAGTATTTGTTGCGATTACCTATCTTTTCTGGTTGTATTCACTATGGATCCCATCATGAGCATAATGCGGCACGTTCTACCGTTTTTTCCTTCATGCAAAACCTGGAACTGACTGCGCTGGTGTACTAGGTCCATTTGAATACATGGAAAACGCTTTGCATGCATTTCTGATGATGAAAAAAGACGCTGGACAGCATTTCGATATGGAACAGTTAAAAAACGCTTCTAAACGCAAACTCTTATAAACGCGGTTAGCCGTGTTTACAAGCGCTTGGCGTTTGAACGCTGATAAAATCTACTCCTGAACTCAAGTTTGGTGTTCAAAAAAACGACGACTGTAAACTCAACTGCCTGTAAATGACTGTAAACGACGATGTGTACATGGACACATAGGAAAACATTAGGGAGAGTTCAGGGCCTGCTGAAAAAAAAACGCAGAAAAAGCTCCTGAATGTCAGTTGAGCAACTGCAGTGTACCCTTAGAGGTGCTTTTTTCTTCCTTTATCTTAACACAGGATCAGCAGCCTGATATGCAGGTATGTGTTCATTTAAAAAAAAACAAAAAACATTTAATGCATTTTACATGCAGCCAGTGTAAGTACCTGAATTTGACTTGGCATCAACCTCTTGTAATCTCCAGCACTTAAAGTGTTACTAAACCCAGGACCCTGCATTCACTATATCTGGTCTCCCAGGATCCTGCATTCACTATATCTGGTCTCCCACAGTACACAACATGGAAATGCAATTATTTTAGTAAACATAAACTGCTAAATACCTTTTCTCATCAGCAATTAGAGAAGTCTTGTGACTTCAGCTGAGCACTGGTTAAAGCTTGTAGGAGGAGTTTTCTTTCTGCTCTAGAAAGATGCAGAACCCCTTACCCTCTGTCTGGACAGTTCTGATTGGCCCTGTGCTGATCATATGCACTATCCTAAGAAAAAAAAAACCTCTCTAGCAATTCACACTAAACTGAGCATGTGCAGGATGGTTACGGTTCAGCCTGTCTTGTCAGGAGATAAGATGTGGACATTTGAACAAGAGGAGGAGCAGGGAAGTCAGGATCAAATGGCCTTTTTACACAATGCAGAGGATTAACCCCTTAGGTTCCACAGTGAGTATAAAAAGCATGCTTTACTGCATATACAGACTGATTTTACTGTTGTGGGTTTAGTAACACATTAAACCAAATGAGAGAAGGGCAATACTTGGGGTCAATTCAGGAGTGTTGCATTCACACGTGCTAATAATGAGTATGCTAAGTGAAAGCAAGAAGAGAGTGATGAATCATCTGGTTCCTTCACTGTCCAATCATTGGCAAGTTCTATATATACAATCTCTGTGTCCAAGATGGCTACCAAAATCTCGGTAATACTCCAGTTTGACACAGGCTCTCCCAAGTTGGCACATGGCAGAAGATAAACAGAATCACGATGAGGAAGGGATTTAGTGATCAACTGATTGCAGCCTCACTCCTTATACTGATAATCAGACAGGGTGACAGCACCCCCACTGCACCCCCTACCTTCCTGCATACAAGCAGTTTTTCTATAAGGTGCTGCACCTTTTACCTGGGGTAGCTTCTTATTCATGATTATACTACTCAATAATGGAATATTTATATGCAGTTCTTTCAAGGATAGATTGTGCAATGTTGTAGTATACTTTGCTTTTAGGCACGATGTTTGACATGTAATGTCTTTGATATGTATTTAACATATTTGTAGTAAATAAAGTGTATATTTTTAAGCTACTTTATTATTGTTGGTGGTGACTGGATACACCTTTTAAATATTGTTTCTTTTGCATTCTTCGGGTTCTAATCTGTTATTGGAGTAAACAAACCATTAGCTTGTTTGGTGACTCACCCTATTACCTTTCATCACTTCATACCTAAAGAAAAACAAATTCATTAAGTTATATTGCTGAAGCACTTTTCCCACTGGAACTCAAACCATTTTATCTTCTGTTGCATCAGATCAGGACATCTTGGGGGGAGATCAGCGGAGTATCATAATAGGGCCAATTTTAGGCACGAGCCAACCAACCTGCCAGCATATATTTGGAGTGTGCGAGGAAACCAGAGTACCAGGAGGAAACCCATGCAAGCACAGGAGCTAACTCCATGCAAGACTTGGACAGAGGACTCTAATTTTTCATGGTAGAAAAGCTAACCATTAGAAAAGTGTAATTTTTTTATTTCCTTTACGTTGCACATGCATTCCCTAAGAAATGTCTCAGACAAAAGATTGACCTTTTTTACGTTAAAGAAAATTCCTCAAAAATATTTTTTTAAATTATGCAATTTTCTGGCGTAATGTCCTTGCAAGAACATAAGGAAAGGCATCACGGAAAGGCGCTGAGGACAAGTTAGCTGTGCCAGAGGTCAGGCAAGACGTACTGAGTTATTGGCAGAATTTTTGGTCCAGATGGCCTTCGGGGCTCTAAGATGGCAGCTCAATAAGAGCCTTTTGTCAACTCGAGGCAGCTCTGACATCTATTTCCAGCTCAACTGTTTGTTTCATAGAAAGCACACACATTTCACTAGTGACTTTTTCTCTCCTCTCTTGTTTCTCAGCCGTCTGTCTCGTTCTCCAAAACCAAGTCTCTTGCGATGCCAGTTGCTGGCCTTAAGAGGAAATGAAAAGCCGCAGCAGCCACTGACCATAAATGAAAAGCATTTAAGTCATGGAGCAAAGCACTAAAGCAGCTTGAAGGAAAAATAAAATAAGGTAATCCAAGTCAAAAAGGGCCATTTTCTCTAAAGCGGAGAATTACTGTTGCCCTGACGGATAAATCGTACAAGTCTAAATACCTAGATTTAATAATCTATCAGGATTTATTAGGCCGAGAAACCCTTGGACAAATGAATTTCTGTAGCCAAAAATGAAGACCTGGCCAAGTTTCCAAAACATTTTGCTGGATAAACAGGCTATTGCCAGCCTCTAAACTCAGTTCTCATTCCATCGGTATTATACTTAATTATGGAAAAAACAGCGCGGCCTTGGCCTGTGTGAGCGATGAACGCACTCTTTGATAAGAGTGTTATTACAAGCCTGCCGGGATTTTGTCTCTTGGTCTGAACTGTCTTTCTGAAATTCCGAGGACTAACCGAGTATTACTGTCCTCGAAATTGAAGCTTACTATTTTTTATTAGTCTTACTTTTTTTTTATTTCAGCTTTGTGTTGCTTAAGGGATTCAAACTGCTGAAGCTTATGTGCCTTGGCTGCCTCTCAAAGCAGAATCTATGTGAAACTATTTCTCCCCTTCTGACATATGTCTTCTGTCCATCCCGAGGATTAGCTGGCTGGTAAATTTTATTTCATCCAATTAAAGTGTAAGTCTATAAAGGCAGGAATCACATGTCTCACACTTACTAACTTTGGTGGGCACATCAAGCTTGTCCTAATTTCATCTATCGCTATATGACATTTTTATGACTTTATTGCAGAGGTCAGTGTATCCAAAAATTACTTTTGCAAGAAGTCTGAAGTATATAGCCAAAACTTTTCTTTTTAGTTTTGGATAAAGTGAGAGAGGATTAAAGTAGAACTCCATCTATTTATTTTTCTTTAGACCCCTACCCCCCACATAAAAAAAATTCTGTCTCATCCTCTTTGGTCCAGCACTGGCAAAACCTGCCAGGATAGAAGTCCAGGAGCTGCCAAGACCTGATTTGATAGTGCATGCTTCAGGGTTGTCATCCTTAATTCCATTACTGAGTCTTTGATCTAGAAGAAGCATGCACATGTCAGGCATTTTGGGTTGTGGTATATACATACCTATTCCAGGTCGGTGAGTAATAAGGAAGGAGGACGGTGAGCAGTAGCAACTTTAACGTCCCTGAATATATATTCCTTTCCTTTTATCCTCTGAACAGCAGGGCTCAGACTGGGAATGGGAGCGATCAGCACTTTAAGACTATAAGGGCATCATGGCTTTGCTCAGTGCCATCAGTAAAACAGTAAGCCCATTCTAAGCACAGGCATGCCCTAAGGGGTGTATTGCTGATCTTCGCCAAAGTGGTTTGGAATAGGACTTTTAAGGTGAAGGTATCAGTACACAAATAATAAAAATCATACAAATTTTATTCAAGAAGTCTTATTAAAATCCCATAAAAACAAGAGAACAGGTATAATCTAGAAATGCATTGAAACATAGGCAGGTGTGTGGAGAAATGCTTTAAAAAATATATGAGAGACAGAGAGAGAGAGAAGAGGGAGAGAGAGAGAGGAGAGAGAGAAGAGAGAGAGAGGGGATGAGAGAGAGAGAAGAGAGGGGGGGAGAGAAGAGAGAGAAAGGAGAGAGAGAGAAAGGAGAAAAGAGAGAGAGAGAGAGAAAGGAGAGAGGGGGAGGGAGAGAAGGGGGAGAGAGAGAAAGGGGAGAGAGGGGAGAGAGAGGAGAGAGACAGGGGGAGGGAGGGAGAGAGAGGATAGAGAGAGAGAGGAGAGAGGGGGAGAAAGAGAGAGAGAAGGGGGGAGAGAGAGAGGGTGATAGTGAGAGGGGAGAGAGAGCTGGAGGGAGGGAGGGAGATGAGAGAGAGAGAGAAGGAGGGGGAGAGAGAGAGAAGGAGGGAGAGATAGATAGAGAGAGAGAGAGAGCACTGACGATTTTGTACTTTATGTTGGGTGCCATTCTCAATAAATGGCAATGCAGTGTACTGCACAGGCTGCCCTGTCCTATTGCGCACTGTGGTGATGTGCAATAGAATGCGTGTCTTACAATGTGTTACTGCAATTCATATGTCTTAAGGGGTCCTAAAAGTTCATTAGTAAACTACTCCCAATCAGCCAATTGGAAACCATGTCGTACCTTCAGTGGATGCTATGATTTAGCGCACTTGCACATTCGTATTTGTCTTTCATTTGCCAAAATGAATAAGCGTATCAAATTATACAAACATTGTTTTTCCTTTTTTTTACATTTCCCCGTGTTGTTCTGTAATAGGTTTTTTGCCAGCAGAGAACCATTGCAAATCTCAGTGTGCTGGTGCAGAATGTTGGAGAAATCTTCACCAGTTGTTGCAATAATTCACATCAATCTGCCACAATTTCCTGTAAATGTTACCATTGTTAAACCCCTGCTTTACATTATAGTAAAGAGCCCAAACTGTGGATAATGAGGGAGTATAAAGATGCCAGCGTAGAAATACCAAGAATGTGACATTAATGTGCTCTCATCTTCTGCCACAATGACCATTTGTCAGCTATGGCCCTACAATACTAGAAAGCAGACCTGACCTATATGGTGCATAATAATGAGCTGCACACACTGGACCACCTGATATTTCCATACTTAGATACATACTTGGATTAGAACTCTCATTATCTACTGTGGGTGTGATTCTGTGTTAAAACGTAGAGAAAATATAACACACAGCCAGGGGCGGACTGACAACTGATGGGGCCCCCGGGCAATAGGGGATCATGGGGCCCCTGTGTCCTTGCCCAAACTCAAAAAAGCCTATGAAAAAGGTACCAGGGGTATCTCATGGGGCCCCCTACTGACCCCTGGCCCTCGGGCAATGCCCGAGTTTCCAAATGGTCAGTCCGCCCCTGGTCAGAGAGCACATACTGTAACTGTTACCCAACAACAGTACAATAATTGTAATACTATATGGATGTTTTGCAGCTCATTGCCTCAGTGTGCATGGCAGAATGAGTGTTGGACTTCCACTGTCACCAAGGTGGACAACGTCACTGTGACAATAATTCTTATTTTCCAGCTGGAAAATAAGGTTTTCAAAGCAGAATAAAAAGTGGCAGCCAGCCCACTGGTAGCTGAAAACCAATAACCTGATTTATTTGTTAGGCCCTTTGCACACCAGGACATCTAGCTACAGTGCGCCCCTCCTGGCATCTTAGTGTACCCCGGAGTGACAGATGCAGCATCCAGCAAAGATTCCTGCAGCCTCATGTTTAGGGGCCTATGCATATAGGGACAAATGCTTGGAATGCAAGGACCTAAATATGAGTACCACTTGTACAGCCTTCAGCCCCATCCAGTTGCAGCCTGCTATAGACTATGACGAGCTGCGGGCAGCAGGGTTGGACACTCTACTTGTCCCTTCCGGATGCACTTAAACACCAGGAGGGACGCACAACAGCTAGATGCCTCTGTGTGCAAGGGGCCTTACGTATAGCACCAAAAGCATTTTGGAGCCACGCAACAACTTCTTTATCAAAGTGGTTGTAAAAACTCAAGGTTTGTACCTTCATGCATTCTATACATGATCGTAAAAAAACTTCTGTGTGCAGCAGCTGCCCCCCCCCCCCCCCCCCCAGCCCTCCTATTACTTACCTGAGCCCCATCTTGAATCCAGCGATGTGCATGAGAGCCTCAGCTGTCCTGGGTCTCTCCCTTCTCATTGGCTGAGACACCAGCAGAAGCCATTGGCTCTTGCTACTGTCAATTACAGCCAGTGAGCCAATGAGGAGACGGTGGGGGCCGAAACTGCATCTGTGTGTGAACGGATCATGCAGAGCAGCGGCTCAAAAGCAAACCTGCTTGGTTGCCCCCATAGCAAACTGCTTGCTATGGGGGCACTTAGCAGGAGGGAGGGGTCAGGAGCACCTGCGAGAAGAGGAAGATTGGGACTACTACTCTGTGCAAAAGCACTGCATGGAACAGGTAAGTATAATATGGGTGTTATTTATTTATTTTTAAATCCGCTTTTACAATTACTTTAGGATGACAAACTGAGGTTTGCCACCTTGATAATGGGGGGGGTCCTAACACAACCGCCATTGATGACTTGCCTAATAAGTAAATAAGGTTTATTCATTTTGAAAACTATCGGCATGCTGGCTTTCACTTTTTATTGTCTAATGCCTCCGCTGTCGTGCACCCAGAATAGATCTCAGCACATTGATAATACACAGCAATTTCCTTACAAATGTGAATTGTGCCCCAATGGTTTGGGGATCTGAAGCCAGTGAGTGGAGTGCAATAAAATATAGAATAGGTATGAAAAGATCGTGAGCGCTCTCTAACAATGTCAGCAGCTAGATACACACTATAGGTAACCACAGTACCTCTGAAATATATCAATATGACCTTAAAACGATAAAGTGCAGCGCTTAAACCAGGTGAAGAAGACAATGAATAGGTTAATCACAGTGAGTGCTTAACCAAATAAAAAAGTCAATGTATAGACTTATCCGCAGTAAATCACTGTATGGATGCGAATTCCCACGGCCTCCACTCTGTCAAAATAGTAGAAATGCGCACTCACCGGAAACGCATAGGATATGCGCATGTGTGATTTATGCATCACAGGCAATTGGAACATCAGAGGTTAGGCAGCCAGGCATCTCCCTCATGGTGGGTCATCACAGACTCTTGATAAGGTCCAGGGGTCCCCTTAAGGTCAGCCAGGTGTTGTAAAGGAATCTCCTCTCAGGATTGCAAACAGTGTTTTCACTGTGGGAATGAAAGCTCCAAATAGGAGCCCCAGAAACAGATGCCCAGAGACATAGTGTAGTATGTCCAAAAATCAGTGCTTTATTGATAGAGATAACAGGGCAGTAACAGGGCAGTATGCATGTAAATCATATAATAATGACATAGATATGCAGCAGTACTGACCCTTAGTAGTGATGGCCGCCGGGCCTCCTCGGTGGCTGTTGTGTGGACCGGCGGTGGAATGACGTCACGCTCTGCATTACAGCTCCTCCTTAGGCCTTTCGTGCTACAGGCACATCATCAGAGGGGAGGCTGTACAGAAGCGTGACCGACGTCAGTGTTAAAAATTATAGGAGAAATGGCACATGCGCAGTTAACCGCGGCCCATTTTCCCGAAGAAAGCGTGTACTGCGCATGATGCGCGAGCACAAGGCAGCGCCATTTTGCCGTGGATCCGCGATCGTACAGAAAGCAAGGGGATACACAGAAGTCTCATAGCACAGAATCCCAGTGCCGTTTGCTAACTATGCCGCAGACCCCAGGGACTCTATGTCAAAACATTATTACCCTCATTAACAGTGACAGTGCAATTAAAATAGCAGTACCTGTGCGCATGATGTATGGGGTACAAAGATCCCCCCTAAGTGATTGGGGTCACGTAAGGTTGCAATAACGGACCACGGCAAGATGAAGAACAACATAATGAATATAATAAATGATATCCCACAAAGACTTGGATAAAAGCAATGGAGGTAAAAACAAGGCATAAGATCTAGGCAGTAAGGGACATAATTAGTGATACACTACTTACCAATCAACCAGAGTGAATGTAATAATTATAATACATTACAAATACTCATACATTAAATATGTACAAAACAAAAAGGGGGGATAAAAAGAGATAAAAAGACCCTAAAAATAGCCCATAAAAAGCCATCATGATTATTCCTGCAACCGTCTTAAAAAATTGGGAAGTCAAACAGGGCAGAAGGAAAAATCATCATAATAATAAGACCAATAAATAATAATCAGTTAAGCTGAATGAATGTCCGAATAAAATATAAAAGGTATTCAAACACATAGAGAAGAAGCAACGCTAAGAGTGCAACTTAATACAGAGAATAGGATTATTCAGCAATATATGTCAGATAAAAGTAGGCTCAAAATATATAAAACAGAAATGGGAAAAAGAAATAAACCAATCAACTGTTAGCAATGAAGCAGTTGACTATCTACCTCAATGTTATGGCCTAAAGGGTGTAAAGTTTGGAGCTCAAAAACACCCACATTTTAGTCTCGGCTTGGGGAAACCGCCCTGGTTTTTGTTAATACCCCCCTCCAATGGTTTTTTTTAATCACATCGATACCAATGAATTTTCAGTGAAGATGGTCACTATTATGGTGAAGGCGGTAATGGTTCGATAATGAGTGCTCCCTAAACCCCTTCTTAATGTTTGAGACGTGCTCACGTAGTCGATCTCGTAGACGTCTTGTTGTCCTGCCAATATATTGTTTGCGACAGGGACACTGCAACAAATACACTACAAATTTACTATAAACAAGAGATAAAATGCTTAATGTTGTATGTTCTACCCATGTGATAGATGATTGAAATGTGCTGACTCTCCTTTTTCTAGTATTGTCACACTTTACAGATAATGCACTTGTTACAGGGATGAAACCCTTTCAAATCTTCAATACCAGAGATGTATTTTGAGGAGGGTCAACTAACATTTGGTGCAATCCATATTGCCTAACAGGCCGTTGCCTTCCGAAATACAATTTCAGGTTTATCTGGTAAAATTGGTTGTTAAAACTGGGTCCATTTTTTAGAATGCCCCAATTATCATTCATTTCATTTTATTTATCTTCTTATAATTGAGTTGAGAAGGATGTGATGAAGGGGCATACTTTCCTTTGATTACTCCTGTGATTTTCCATCAGCATGGTTGTTTCTATCCATCTGCGCTATTGTCAGTATAGTGTGAGATCAAGGGTTAGCCCCATTATATCCCTTCTCTAAAACCTATGCTTTAAATGTCGGCCCTGAATATGGTAAGTCTCAATCCTCCTGTTACAATTTACGCCTAATTCTCATCATCTGTCCTTTAGGGGATATTGGACCAGACTTTAGGTGATGGACAACTCCCAAGAGGGATGAAAACTATTACGATCTGTTGCTTTAAAGAATGACTTAGTATTGAATTCAAACCCATGTGCTTAACAAGTGTCAAATCTAAAAAAGTAATTTCTTCATGACTATAGGGTCATATGAGGAGCTTAATATTAAGGGCTATTTATAATTCAGTGTATTAAAAATTTTTTTTTAAGAGACTACTCTCATCCCCTTCCATAAATATGCTCAAGATATCGTCAATATATCTTTTATATAACAACAATAAACTCAGGCACAAATCTCTGGAGAAAATGAGGTCCTTCCTCCCACCGGGCCATGAACAGGTTTTGCCCAGGTCTGGGGGCAAACTTAGCCCCCCATAAAAAGCCCACACCGTCTAAACGGCTCAAAACAAATATTCATTCAATTGAACCAGAAATAGTGCCTAAACATCGCGAATTCCAATTAATTCTAAAATGAAAATCCTTCTGGGTGGTATGTAGGGAGCTGATATTGCGTCCAAGAAGAAATCAGAACTGCATCCATTACCATCATTATGAATTGATGTTCTGAGTAACAAAGAAGCAACATCGGCTGTTACTAAAAAATAGTATCAGTGAAAGTGACAATGGTGCTAACCTCATTGAGAACCTGTTGAGTGTCTCTTTATGTATGGCCGCAGTTTGCAAAACAAGCGTTGAAGAAAAAAGTCCACATATTCGCCAATCCTAAAGAGCTAAAGTGAGCAATAACGGCTTATTATTGGCCTCCCCGGTTGGTTTTAATACGGACTTTGTGGACCCCTTTCGGCAGTATGTATAGGACGGTAGTTTATGTGGCTGTTGGAACCAAGAAGGCATTACTGATAAAGGATTGAAATATGCCCCATTCCAAAAAAAAAACTGAACAAATTTGAAACCTTACATGGAACATACATAAGTTTGCACGGCAATTATCCTTGAAAAGGTATTTCACACCACTAATCCTATCACTAAGGATGCCCCAATTAAGAAACTCAAATTCCAAAATTTCACAATGCTCCCCCTTTAA